AATTTTGTCGTCCTCAAGGATGGTTTCTGTGTTTATTCTGGGTTTTCTTCTTATTACACTCGACCTAATACGACGTTTATCGTCTATTTCTTTGTAGCTTGAGTTGGTTTATATCTTCATGAGTTTTTTTTCCTTATTCTGGAAGTGAAATCCTCTCCATTTGATTTCAGATTAGCTTAAGCTGATTTCTAGCGAACTAGATTTTTTACTTTCAGTTAAACCTATAATAATTGTTATGTGTTTAATAAAGCGACGCCAGGGGGAAGGCTTAACTGAATCATTAATAGTTCTACCCTAAATTTTTAACATATTTGGTTTATCGGGAAACGGAGGATAGACAGTTGGTGACTAATCGACTAGTGTGGTTGGCGAATATTAAAAGTATAAAATAATCAATTATAAATATTTCCTGGTTTATGGGGGGGGGGTTCAATAAACGGTTCGAAGATTCGTAAAATTTGACACTCTTCTAAAAAGTCTCCTTGAGTGAGGATTTGGTTCCTTTTTATTGGGATCCCCTTATCCATACTTGTTTAACATACAGGTGTCTTTATATGGAGGTCGTAATGTTGAATTAGATATGGGATGTTTAATTGGGGTCCATTTAATTAAGGTAAATAACCTTTCCACTTTTTGTTTTATTTGTATATTTGTTACTATGATGTATTCTAGTTGTACGCTGAAAGAAGCCTGGATTCTTCTGGAATTGATATTATTATTCTTATTTTCTTAATATACTCTGGATGAACTGGCGGGGTGATCATCTATTAGGAGAGTGAGGTGATCATCTTCTAGTGGAAATTTTCCATTTGGTTTATTTCATTTATATACGTTAAATATACAAAAGTATTAAGAGATTTGATTCTACAGTTCGTAATAATTTATAAGATTTCCTATTCCATCTTTCTTTTGTATTCTCCTTTGTGGTTCTCTTGATCATTTTTACACGGGGGTTAGGATTAAACTCCTGACAGATTCTCCCTTTTGTCCTATTCGGAGTTTTCAGACACTTCGTATTGAAGAATTAATTCATTTTATGGTTGGACATTGGGAAGATCGGATGGTTTATTTAACAATTTCTTAATTTTTTCAACCAAGAAGAGAGAGGTATGGTATATTAGATCTAACCTCAGAAAGCTGAAATAATATATGGATTACGTTAACCTATATGTCCTATTTCTGCGGCGTCTGATGGGTTGTCGTAGGCATGTATAAAGAGATTTGTTTACAATATATGAAATATAATAATATATACACTCAGACACAACTAATTATATTATTTGTTGTGATCGCATCTTTCTATATGGATTTTGCTATAATATATTTATAATGTCCTTCGATTCTTCTTGGTAATAAAAGGATATATAATTTCAGATAGGCCTGCTCTGGAGTCTAGGATTTCAAATTTTATCCAAAATAGATATCCGAAGAAATAAATAATTGGAAATGATACGAATTCTGACCATACTCACTCTATTATCTAGTTTCTTTGTAAGATTAGCTTTTGTATTGCAATGAATTGTAAAGGAAAAATCGGGTCCTAATCAACAGACCCCTTATGAGACTGTCATAAGTTAAAATAACAGAAACAGAGGTAGCATCGTTATGATAGAGGAGAATAATCACTCCGTAACAGGTGAAGAAAATAACTAAGAGACTTATATGCCTCTATAACATCCCCACAATGTCTTCTTCAGCTTAAGTCATAAATACGTCATGTATGAAAGATATTATATATTGTTTAGGGTTATAAATTTGGAATAGAGAAAGATACTTTCATTAGGTTAATTACACTCTGGAGGGTTGAATTCTTGAAGGCATAAATTTTATAATAATCATGACATATGCGCACTCTTGGGGCCCAACCAATTTTGGATTAATGGATAGACTCGGGGTATTGCACATGGTTAAGCGGACAACTAAAACTTTCTCCTCCTGCAATGTTATAGATATATATAGTATGGCCTTGAAGACGAGCATACCACAACGGACGATATCCTTTGTCCGTGAGTTTAGAATATACTCTAAATGTACTGTCAAGTATAAGGGAAGATAAAACTCATGAAGCATACGATAGGAGGTAGCCAGTATAGCTGTTAACAATGTGCACAAATATGGAAGACAAGTTAAGTTAATTTTTATCCTTAAATTTTGCAGCTGACGGTTATATGACTAATTGCATATTCTATGCTTTAAGAATATCCGTACGCTGCGTGAGTTGGACAATAAATTTAGGATTATTATGAAGTCCGCGTAGTAGCACATATATGGCAGTGATGGCGTAGTACTCCCTGATGAAAACCTTCAATTTAAAGTAATATATTTGTGATTGTCGAATAAATTCCGTCAAAATGGAATGTTATTGGCCAATAGTTCCTTAAAATAGCATAGGATCTGGTTACATTAGAATTGGCGCACTTGTGCTAAAGCTATCTTGATTCTTGCAAATTCGTTAATATTCTTATGCACCTATTTGTTGGTGTGCTCATGGCTTATACGTAGAATTTGCATCTTTATGTGTGCCTGTACATTTTGTCCGTCTTGTCTTCTCTACTTTCTTCTTTAAGCTTCATCTTAGTTAAGAATATTTGTTAATTTTTTTTTCTTCCATCCTAAGGACAAGCCGTCTGTGTTAAAATCAGATATAATTCTGCTTCTGTCCGGAATATGTTTTTAACAAAAGGAGTTAGCACGATTGATAGATCATGAACCGTGGAATTATATATAACACTCTGGCGCAACTTATCCACACATCACATGAGTAGAAGCGCGGTTGATTTGATGGATTTATTACTAATGAGTCTCCTTACTGCCAAAATAGTGCTATATATAAAAAGGTGGAGGACTTCTCAAAATTAAGAAGTTATTCTCATAGCCACTTTGCTCATAATCTGCAAAGGAATAGAAAAAAGTAAAATCAAAGTCATATGAGTAATGCGATCCAAAAAATTGGAATCCTTATATTCGAAATCAGGGCAACACAGAATATACATGTAACAAAACAACTTTCATGTCAGACCCTTGACCAGTAGTGACGCATGCAGTCAACATAGATATTTTATGATTACGATTTTAGATACAACAAAAATGGACACTTTTACACTAACCGTAGAGACACCGAATGTCATAACTCTTCCAGAATCTACATCAGAATGTGTGTTATATCTTTACAAAAACAAAATAGCTCTTAAGGAAGCCTCTGAAACTTCAAAGAAGAA